GCGAGCGCATGCGCCCTATAGCAAAAACCTCTCCAAAAAAAAAAAAGGAACAAGCTATTGTGTGATATATGGGAACTAATCTGGGAGCCCTGGGCCGCCACTTCAGATGCTCAGGAAAACCTTAAAAACTGTCTGCACTTGCCCATGGCAGAATGACCAGTGCCTGGCCATCCTACTCCAAAGGAGGGGTCATTCTATTTCACAAATGATCTTTAGCTTACTCTTTGATAACTTTGTTTCTTAGTCCTCTACTGTCTCTAAGGTTTTTTCTGAAGTGATTGAGCATGTATTTCACCCGGCTTTTAATGAAACTAGTTTGACCACCTGTGGTTAAAACAACTCCAGAGTTTAGGAAGGTAGATATGGCTTTTGAACATGTGCCTGCTCCCTGCCACTCTTCCAGTCTGGTGATTCGTTCAACCCTACCCTGGCCACTGCTGTTGCCTAGAGCTGTGTGCTGAGTGATGCAAGAGGAGCCAAGTGGTGCAAGTGTGTGTGAGCGGCTCGCTCTGCACTTTGGTGAGTCCCAGTGCCCTCTGCCTGCCTCGCCTGTGGGCTCCAGGCAAGTGATGTTGGGCTTTTTGCAAGTTAGAAATACCACAGTGCAATGAAAACCCCAATGCTTCCTAGTAAGCTAAAGCTAAGGGGAACCTTAAGAACCTACTCCAGTTGCTAGGAGCCATTGATATCAGCACCAGGCAAACAGAAGGACTCGTGTAATGGGAGGTACACTGCCAAGGGGTTCAGGGCATGCAACCTGAGGGAACATGGGTGTTACCTCTAAGATCACCTAAGGGCTTGTCTGATCTCGTCACAGTCTAGAGGAAAGGGTTGTGATTGCATGTGAGTGAGTGCACTAAGTGGGACAGTTCTGTCTGTGTGAGGGTGTGTGTGTGGTGAAACCACCAATGCAAAAATCTCCATTTGTTGAAGGCTTTTTTCACTCCCAGGTGGTACGGTCTATAGCCAGACTGATGAGAGTGCTGATTCTGAGGTCAAAAAATTCAGGGGCTGGAATGGAGTGTCTGGGTTTCCGGTCTAAACTCTATGGCAATTGCCTTGGAATCAGCTTTCTTGCACACTCCTGGCAGGGCTTAAAAGAGCGCACCCTAGCTTTAGATCCCTAAAGCAATGACACCATCCTTCAGCGAATGGACAGAGATATTTAGCTTGCAAGAAATGTAGGTGGACTAACAACAAGAGAGTAAGTCCCCTTGCAAAATCTTCCCTAAATTGGCAATTCTTCTCTGAATGACAGACAAAAGGACTGGGCTAGGGACCAGCAGGTGGCACGGTGGTTAAGGTGCTGGACACTCCCACATGGGCAACCACAGTTCAAATCCTGAACCTGATAGCTTGCTTTCTCACTTTCCCTTTCGCTCGCTCTCTCTCTCTTTGTGTATTTCTCTCTGGTCAAATGAAATGAATGAATAAATTAAAAATTAAGTAAATTATTTAAAAAATAAAACAGGACTGGGCTATTATTAAAAAAAAAAAAAAGAAAAAGAAAAGAAAAAAAGGATAGTAAGTGGAATCGGTGTTTGAGACCTAACCCATACAGAAATAGATTTTTTAAAAAAAATAATTATTTATTTAATTTTATTTATTTATTCATTTATTTTAATTTTACCAGAGAGAGAGAAAGTGAGAAAGCAAGCTACCAGGTCCGGTACTTGGACCGTGGTTGGTCACGTGGGAGTGTCCGGCACCTTAACCACCACACCACCTGCTGGTCCCCCAGAAGTAGATTTTTTAAACAGCTGGACCTAGACTGCTGACAACAGAGGCAATTTTCTGCCCTAAGAGAGAGATGAGTGAAAAGATTTCCTTGTGTCATCACTTAGGGAAGTTTCCTGAACTTGCTCCAGGAAAAAAGTGCCCAATGTGCAAAGGCTGAAAGCCCTTCCCAACATAGAAGAGAATCAAGTATCGTTGTATTTTTCTCCCTGCAACGATGCCCTTAAGACAAAGGGTGTCTCCTTTGAAGAGGTGACCAAACAAGTGTCCACCTGGCTGCGTCCCTCCCAGGAACTTTTGTGCCTCTTAGCATTGGTTGTCTGGTACTAACCCCAAGGTAGGACTGGACACACAGTGAGGCATGGAATGCCCCAATGCCCAGTGCAGCCCTAAGCTGTATGAGGACACTACGGAACTGGAGATGAGTACCTACTCAGACTCCCTAGCCAAATCCTTAGAGCCATGAACACAGTCACACGGTCACTCATTCACCATTCACACAGAGGTTAAAAACATTCCCTCCCACCAAGTAATAATCTTTGAAGTGATGATAGAGACAGAAAGGACTTATAAGAGAGAGAAATCGTAAGAGCTAGGAGGGATTTGAACTCTCACTCTAGCAACTTCAACTAGTAGGCTTTTACCTACGTCCCTTTTCTGGCAACGTCTTGGTGGAATCTGAGTAGAGGCCCTTTCAACTGCATCCAGTAGAACCTGAAATTCCACAAAGCATTCTGCCTAGTTGTTATTATTCAGGAGGCATGGCCCACGCCAGCCTCATACTGCCCAGTCAACTGGTCTTAATCAGAAAAAGTAAAGAGAAACAGAGGAGAAAAGAACAGAAAATACTGCGGAGGTTTTCTTACAAAACTCCATGGTTGAAAGGAGCAGTCGGTGTCCCATCTCTGGCTGTCAAAGACCCAGAAAGGTGTCTCTGGGGCCCTGAAACTTCTCAGGTGATACCTTACCCAGAGTACTCTACGTGTTGGCTGAGAGGACGAGGCTGCCATCCATGGATGAATCTCCAGGTTCCAGTAGGTACATTTCGCTGGGTGCTCCAAATGTTGTATTCAAATCAGCATGCGAATAGGAGGACATGCAGTTTTAGCCAAATTAATGGAGCCTGTATTAAGCTAGTGCCTGTGGGAGGACTCAAGTCACTCCAAAATCCTACAACCCCAAAGTAGAGGGGAGGAAAGTTTATAAAGACAAAAACCACAAAGGCAGGACAAGCAGTTAGCATAATGGCTATGTTGCTTAACTCCCATGTAGCTGACCATGTTTGAATCCTGGACCCGGTGGCTTATACTCATGCCGGGCGTGGGTATGTGTGTGCCCAAGATTCCAAAAGGAGAATGGAGAAGAAGGGAAAGTGGTGTGGCCATCACCCCTGGGAGGAAATTTCTCGCTGTCTCTCAGTTTCTCTTTGTTTTTCTGGTGAGTTCACGTGCCCTATAGCAAAAACCTCTCTGAACACACACACACACACACACACACACACACACACACCAAGGCAAAAAAAAAAAAAAAACGTAAACCTAAGAAACTGTCAGCCTTGTGTCATGTGAGAGCAGTTTCCAAAAGTTGAAAAAGTGAGTTACCAGGAAGACAATTAAGGATGACAATATACATCTGCTTGTGATAAGCATTCAGTGAGAAATTTTTAGGAGGCACGTATGAGTCAGGTCAAAGGGAAGAGGAAATGGTTCCAAAAAGGAGATGCTCATGCTTCATTCTGGGGAAGATTAGGAGAATGTGGTCAACAGATACCGAACCGTACATTGAAAAGTGGAGTGAGTATATGACCTTATTGTAGACCAGCTATAGTTAGTGACATTTGTGTGTATACTGAAAATAGCTAAAGGAGTGATTTTCAAATGTTCACAACTGGAAGGTGTCAGAAAGACATTTTTTGTGGTGGCTCAGTTTACTGCCCTGTGATCATTACACATTGTATTCATATAGTGAAAAACCACATCTCATCTCATAAGTAGGAACAACTTGAAGACAAGTAGATAGCGTAATAGTTCTGATGCTAGATTTCCACGTAGTTGACCTTGGTTTGAGTCCCAGACATGGCACCTTAAATATCACACTGGGCATGTGTGAATGCATGCCCAAAATCTCAAGAGGAGAATGGAGGAGAAGGGATTGAGGCGTGGCCATCACCTCTGTAGGGGGATTTCTCACTTTCTGTCTCTCTGTCTCTCTCTGTCTCTCCAGCAAAGTATATGCTCTATAGGAAAAAAAAAAACTCTATAAAAAAAAGGAAAAGGAAGAAAAGAAAAGAGTAGGTACACTAGTATATAAATTATAATATTTTCAAAATAAGGAAAGAATGATAATTGAAAAGAAAACATTTTTAAGACCGACGATATGTAATGTCACAGTGAACAATCATGAGGATACTCCAGCTCTGCATTTTTCCTCTCCCCTTTAGTGGCTACCCTGATCTAGGCTGGTATTATCAGAAAGAGATTTGATAAAAGCTTTGAGTCATTTAAACAGGAGAAAATTAATCCTTATTATTTATCAGATTTTGCTTTGGTGTACTTTCAAAATTCATGCTTATTATTTACTTTAAGTAAATTGTTACATCTGTACATACACCAAACAGTCAGGTGCACACTGCAATTTACCAATAGACTGTGCTTAGGCACATCCAGGGATTCTAAATGTGATATCATATGACTTTAGCAACCAGAGGAATTAAGGAGTGATAGATACCTCAGTGCCCACGACTCCTTATTTGAGGTCATACCTAAAATGTTCCAGGTCTTTCATTACGTGCTTCCCTTTGAACATCACAAACCTTGGAGAAGCCCATTTCATGTCTGAATATAAACTTGGATCCTGAAACTCTGAGAGATGAAATCTTTCACTACGACAGGCAGTAGAACCACTGAAGAAATTCAGAACGTGGGTGACACTAAAAGTATTTGTATCTTCCTGGAGATCACTGCCAAATACTACTTTTTCACATAATTTTTGAACAGTAGCAGTAACGATTTTCGGACAAATTCTAAAACTTAAGATTACAGCTCACTGGAAAAGACCGTAAAGTACTAAACGAGTGCATATTAGTCAAACAAGACTTGCTACATGGGCATCTAAACCTTCTTTCCTGAATCTTAACTCAATACAGGGTCTTTATTAATGACTAGAACAGATTATGCTCTCAGTCATAGGAGCATTAAGAATATAACCAGATAAGCAATGTTAAGAGAATCTAAAAACAAGAGACATTTTTTTTAAATTGCCAAGTGATTTATTTCAAGATGAAAACTTCAAACACATGAAAAGGTTATGTAACTGTCAGAGGGATGGTGGCTTATTTATTCCAGTGTTAATGATATTTCTATGCCTGGGCTCCCATTCCTATTGACTCAGGTTAATTCTTCCCGCTGATGTCGTCCTCATATATTTTTTCTTCTATAACTTCTTTTGCTTTGAAGAGGCCACCAAGAAGTAGTGCAAACAGTAAAAAAGCAAGACGAAGCAATAGAAAAAGCAGGAACTTGTTTACATTAACCAGTATTTTGGCTCGAATACCCACATCTCTGTCAGCTGGAGGTCCACTATTCTCACTACCACCTGATCCTCTTTCCTCACACAATGGTGGCTTCCAACCTCGCACACAATGGCAGTTCTTCTTGTTGTTACACACACCTCTGAAATTGCATTTCTTCACATCACAGTCAAAACCCAAGTCGTCATAAAAAGTGCAATTCTGTCGATAACAGTATCTTCCTGGTCCACATGTTGCGCCATCCACTACAAGGCCCATCTCTGGTAACTCTGTCCCGTGGTGCGCATCATATCCAAAGCACTTTACTTCAGAAACATCTTGTACTAGGATGCTGCGAAACGTAGTGTGCTCACCTCCACCGGGAATGTGATCAATACCGTCACAGTGCAGCAATCCACATAAAACATCGTCTTCTTCACATTTAAAAGGCTTACTTCCCCCTCGTTGCAGCTTCACCCCACAGTTTCCAAATCGGTCACCTTTGGTATTCAATTTGTTATAGCATGCTGGAGAAGCATCTTTCACTCTGTAGCCAAAAAGGGCTTGACACTGCATATCACGGTCACTGCAGTTTCCTGCTATACAAACGGCTACTGCTGAACATGGGGTTCCATCCTGTATATACAAGTCTTCTGGGCACTGTTCCGATTTCCCATCACAGTATTCCGGTAGATCACAAATACCGAGCGTGTCTCTGCAGATCATTCCAGGTCTAGCATATTTACACCTAACGCAGCAAGATCCCACGTCACAAATACTACCAAGGCTGAGGGCACAAGTGGTCTCACAGCACTGGTCATCAGCACATTCTTTAAAAGAGCCACAGTCACATTCTTCGAGAAGTCCAGGCATGGGAGCCATGAGGCAATTGGTTCTCCGAAAACAATGACAACTTTCTCTGTCATGTTGCATGCCCAAGCTGTGTCCCAATGCATGTGCTATAACTGTTGCACTCACAAATAGATGGAACCGATCTACAAACACATATAGGGCTCCCCAATTGGGATTGCATGTTCCAGCATGGTAGACAGTACATAAGCTACCTGAGAGTTTATGCCCTGTCAGAAGAACTGAAGTATCATGTGGAATTTCTGCAAACACTCTGTCTTTTTTCCACAAACTAAAATAACTTAAAATGTGAGATAATGAACCTGACGAAACATCAATTGCATCCATGTCATTCCATATGCACAATACACGTATGAAGACATTTAAATCAGCTTGTTTGTAAATCGTATGTACTATGTTGTTCATAATCACTATATTTTCTATAATACGTGTTAAATTTCTCCCAGCCGCTGCGGCTAACGAATTAGTAACTGTATAGGGAATAGAGAAAGCACATGCTCAAATTTGGAAGAAGTCTCCAGTGGCTTGATTTCGTAAGTGAAGTCATCCACCTGCAGCATGCCACGCAGGCCTCCGTAGCAGGTGTCCAGTGTGCCTATGGACCCAGGAACCCCTTCCAGGTAGCTGTAGTAGTAACAATCTTGGGGCACAAAGGGATAGTCCTCCTGCGTGGCTCCCTGGTCATTATCAGTAATAACAGGAAAGTGTCTGGGCAGCAAGTTCTTCTTGAGGTTCATGTGAATCATGTGTCTTTGGCCCCCGAAGCGCAGGCTGTAGGACAGCTGGTCTGGCATCTCATCTCCACCCATCCTGTGCGGCACCTTCCTGGGAATCACAACTTCAGAGGAAGTGAAGCGCCATCCTGGTGGGGCATGAGAGCAGTAAACAGGGGACAGGACTGCCCAGAGCACAGGCAGCCAAAGGGCGACTGTCAGGGTGCTCTTGGTCCAGGGAAACTGAGCCATTGAAGAAAGAAAGTGCACTCAGGTGGGATGCAGGTAAGACTATCCCTGAAACATCAGCTTTTCCCAGGGTGGTGTCTTGAGGAGAGCAGAGTGAGGCTGAGGAGTAGCACTCACTGAGAGGTGAGGGGGAGAGTGGACCATTACATAACAATGGTGTGCTCATCAGGGGAGGCACTGCCCAGTGACATGGAGCCCCTGGGGCAGGAGACCTCACAAAGAGAAGAAAATGGGCGGAGTTGAGAAATACAGTGCATGCCTGTAAGAGAACTCATGTTCTCTCAGAGGGGCTCAGAATTAGTGGCTTGGTGCAATTTTGGACAAAGGTCCCCCCCATCCCCGCAATTCTGAATGTGATGATGAATCAACATATGATTCAAAAAAACCTGGAGTAAAAGAGAACATCTTCTCCACAGGTTTTTTGAGGAGAGAATTACAGATGCTTGAAAGTTCATGGAGTTTGGTGTCCTAGATGGACTGTCAGAAAAAGGAGATGTTGTTAAAGAAAAACTCCAGACAAATTAATATAGTAACATTTATCCAAGCAAAAATAAACATGATTCACATAGAGGACCCAGGACTTGCCTCCAAGGTCACTCCAGATACTCTCGTGGTCAGGTTACTAATGTGCCAGAACTGGAAAGTGACATACAAATACAGAAGTGAAGGCTGAGGTAGAGAAACAATTGGATTGGTTACATTTTCAAGTTGGTCTGTGCTAATACAGTTTTCAAGGCGGGGCGTCTGTGATAACTAAAGCCTAGAGACTTTGATTGATTGTAACCTAGCAACTAACCAAGGAAGCAGCCTAGCAACTGAGACTGCAGGTAGCTTCTGCAAGCCAAGGCAGGGGTGCAGAGGCTTTCCCAAGCCCAGATGCTTTAACGGTTCTCCCTTTTGTTCAGCCTCTCCATTTTGAGAAATTGATCAAAAAGTAGGGCAATGCCCTCTATTATTTAGTGACTTTTTTTGGTCTCAGCATAGAAATCACAATCATCATAAAATTCAGTACTTTTCTCTGATCTCTGGCATGCAATTCCTAAATCACAATGTCACACTAGTTCAACAACTCTTTTTTTGTCATCTTACTGATCCTGCGGAAGTAAGATTTCTTTAGTGTAATGGGTGACTGCGTACAAATGTTTATGATTCTAGAGAATATAGCACACCAAAGGCACTAAAAAGAACTTAAGTGGATTAATATTAAAAAAAAAAAGTCCTCCTTAACTAATATTCCATGAGACCAGTGAAACGAAATTAACCAAGACTCAGTCAATGTAGGTAATTTGACAGTATTTGAGTCTAGTTGATCAACATCTTTGTTCAGGGTGTGATGATGATGAAGGTTCATAGCTGTCCACAAAATGGCCTGATTTAAGGAGGTGTTTATTGGGACCAGCAGATGGCTATGTCATTGGACTCCCATGTAGTCGACCATGGTTTGAGTCCCAGATCCGGTGTCTTAAACTCATGCTGAGTGCATGCATGCCCAAGATCCTGAGAGGAGTATGGAAGAGAAGGGATTGCAGCATGGCCATCCCCTCCCTCTGGGGTGTGATTTCTTCCTTTCTCTCTTTCTCTTTCTCTCTCTCTCTCTCTGTCTTTCTGGCGAGCACACGCGACCTATAGCAAAAACCTCTCCCCCCAAAAAAGAGGCATTTATATTTGTTGTTAGCCTAGTAAAGCAAGCCATAATATCCTGGAGGCCTATTGGAAGAAATATAGATATTACTTTGAAATACCCAACCTTTTCCTCCTTTATTTAGGATGTTTTCACACAAACTGTCAGTTATTTTTGTAAACACATCACCTGTTCCTTTCTTTTGACATAGATAGGTGCATCATTTACTTTTGTTCAGAATCCAACATAAGCTCCTAAGTGAACAAAAAGGAAACTAAAAGGTGAATGATATTTCTTTGAGCAGTTTTGTTACACTTTGTGTTAATCATCTACCTTTTGGAGGGTGGCTTCTACTGCCTGAAACTCTAGGAAGTTTTATTGGTTCATAATGTGAAAATTTCCTCCCACTTTATATAGAAGCTTTAAATACAACTGGTGTTGTGTTACCGCCAAAAGGGAATCTCCAGGAACCCTGCTGAAATCTCTTCTCATTGTAAACCCTTAGAGGATAGGAGAGTGCTGAGCTCCCATTGTGTAAAACCTTTGGTCCTTTGGGTCCATATCAGTAAAATTAGAGACCTGTCCCTAGGCACAAAAGAAAGCCACAACCACACTAAAAGTAGGTAGAAAAGAGAATTTAATAGGAGAGGAAGATTTTAGAAAAAAATTACACCCAAAGGACTTCTGGGCAGGTAGGTGTCATTTTTATTACTAGAGGTGATAATTAATATTTAGCAGGGAGTGGTCTATCATACTATCTATGATCTTTGTTGAATTCCCAGGTTTAGACACCATATAGCAAAAAATCTCACTTAAAAATGGCGATAAGTAAAATCTATTTATAGTACTTAAGTGGCATATTAGATAGTAGAAATGTACTTGCATTTTCTACTGTCTTTTCAATATCAGGTTGAAAGACTAAACATTTACTATAAGACATTTTAGTAAATTTTGACCATTCACTACACTAATACTGCTGCACAAATTATCATGAATTTAAAAAAATGTGGACCATGTCATCTGTTTTATGAGTCTTGGAGTATAGAGGTTTGTAATAATGGTAGCTATAAAGAGGACTCACGAGGAACTAGGTGGCTGTCCACGTTCTGCATGAGTCCATGCTTAATGTTGGACTTACATAACATACAAATTTTACCTCTTTAATTTAGGAGCATAGTATTGCTTATTAAATAGCATGTGACAGGTAATTTGACTTAGACCAATCTTATGGAATTCACTTAAATTACATACATTAACTATTTGCATGTGATCTTAGACACTGAGCCAGCCAGTGATACATAGCTGAATGATTTATTATGGGCTGACTCAGTGTGAAATTCTGCAAAACATTTCCTTGCTTTTGATTAATTTTGGTTCTTCTGGTTAATAGTTGGCTCAGTAGTTTAGAAAGCCAATCAGGGGACCAGCAATTGGCGGAATGGCTATGTTGCTGGACTCCCACATAGTCAACTGCGGTTCGAGTCCCAGAATTGGTGGCTTAAACTCACGCCAGCTGCGTGTGTGTGCGTGCACAAGATCCAGAGAGGAGCATGGAGAAGAGCAGCAGTGTGGCCAGACCCTGGGGGGTAATTTCTTGCTTTCTCTCTCTCTGTGTGTGTTTTTAGTGAGCAAATGTGCCCTAGAGCAAAAACCTCTACAAAAAAAATAAAAAAATTAGAAAGCCAATCAGTGTTTTTAATTGAAACTGGAATAAATTTTTTTTCCAGTTAGATAATTAGATCATCAGAAATATATACTTTTAAGAGTACATTATCTTGGGAACCAGCAGTTAGCGTAATGGCTATGTCGCTGGACTCCCACGTAGTCGACCACGGTTCGCGTCCCGGACCCGGTGGCTTAAAACTCACGCTGGGCGCATGTGTGTGCATGCCCAAGATCCCGAGAGGAGAATGGAGGAGAAGGGATTGCGGCGTGACCATCCCCCCTGGGGGGTGATTTCTCGCTTTCTGTCTCTATGTCTCTCTCTCTCTGTCTGGCGAGCGCACACGCCCTATAGTGAAAATCTCTCCAGAAAAAAAAAGAGTACATTTTCTTTCCATCCTCTTAATGAATTTCCTTAAAGGCTAACAATGTAAGATTATAATCATTTGGAAAGGCATCAAGTGAAGCAATTAAACATGGACAATAACACTCACATCATCCATTGTTAAAGATCCTGCAAGAATTTACAACTAATAGAAAAGTGGGCTATATCTGAGACATACACTATTTAACATAATGACTTACTACATGAATGATAAATATCACACTATAGGTTTCTGGGAATCTCAAAGTATTTTGGAGCACAGTACATATTAATATACACATGTACCTACACATGTAGATACATGTAACATATCCATACATATAACTCAATTATAATGCAAAAAAGTAAAAAGTATTCAGTTGGACAATACTTCTCCTACCATTTAACAGGTAGAAAAAGTCTGATTGGTTCTGAGAAGTGTAGAGAAAGTAAAGCCCCAGAGAAAATGCTGCATAAATTGATCCAGCATATGGATGGTAGCACTGTGGGCACTGAGAGAACCCACAAATGTGGGTTCCTTGTGTGCATGTGTTTGCTTTTTCAAATGCCTTCCTCAATTACACTATTTGGTGTCTCATCTAGGCTTTAACAACTCTTATGTATAGGTGTTTAAAAATATTTATTTAATTAATTCCATTTGTTACTTTTTTATAATTTGACAGAGACAGAGAGAGAAAGAAAGGGAAAGTGAGAAAACAAGTCTCCAGGACCGGGATTCAATCTGGAAGTGAGTCCCACGGTGGGCCATGTGGGAATCCAGCACTTTTAACCACCATGCCACCTGCCAGCCCTATATATAAGTTTTGGAAACCATGGAGTTTTGGAAACTATTAATGTTTTGTGTGAGAATTCTATCCCTACAGTGTCATACTAGGAAGCTGGAAGATCTCATTTCCCCAAGGCGCAATGAAAAACAAACCTCCAGAAACTATCTGATGCAACTTTGTAGAAGCACTGCAGATAAACCTAGCACCAATAATTTTTTATAAGTCTATTAAATAAATTTTTAAAAATTAAATGGCAAGCCACTCCCTGAATGACATCTGACAAAAGATGTCAGTCCATGACAGAAGTATGTCAGAATAATCAAATATAAAGACCTAAATTACTTATTTAAATAAAATATACTTGCTGAATGCTATACTAGGCAGAGAAATAGGAGAAAATACAAGAATCGTCTATTCCTAAATTTCCATGACAGAACTGAAAAAGAGAACCTAGAGTATACAAAAAAGAAAATGTCAGTAAGTTATATAAAATGTAAAAATCATTTTTAAAAACTGCTCATGATATAATAGAATAAAAGAGTAAATAATGTGGAAAAATTACAAATACATGATAATCTGCAAAGTTTAGGACAGCTTTTTGTCAGAGAAGAAATGAAAAGAAAAATAGCCTTTAAAACCTGTAAGGGAAGAACTGGCAGGTGGCTTGGGGGTTAAGGGTGCT